AAAGAGTGGGAGTACGTATGAATGGACACTGACTCCTCTTGCAGAACAGTCAAAAATGAAACAGCAGCTGTTAACTGCATTTCCACTCCTGCAACATGCAGCACTTCCTGTATAATTACAAATTATATCAATTTAGAGCATGAGGCAGAAATGAACTGAAAGAACATTCAAATTTTTACATTCACTTTTAAGAGTGAGTGAATTTGTAACAACCTAGGTAAACTATAAAATTGGCTGTAAAATTGTTTTCTCTTAACAGCAATTACTTGGAGATATTAAAATTTCTTATGTGATAGCATCAACCTTTTAAGAAATATAAAGTTAAATTTTTTGTACTTTCAGTTTCATCAATGTGTATGTGTGGATGTTTTGAATTTACAAAGTGAGAGGTAAAACCAGACCAGCCAACAATTGTACTTCTGCTGTTCATGCACATGAATTAAAAAGAAGTATTTCATTTAGCCAGTGAGAGATACTAAAATAGCAATTTAAGAAGGCGATTTAAATTTTGTCCTTTGCCAACTGACACTGAATACAACTGAAAATGTATATGTATGTGCATATATATACAGTCTAAAGAATAAAGCATGATGTACTAGAATATTTATCTAGGACACTCAGCATTTACTAGTACTTAGCTTTAACATACAATAATATAATTAATTAGGCTATCTTTAAAAGCATCAATTCAAAAGTTAAAGATAATATGAGAATGAAATATTACTAAATTTTTTGAATGAAACAAAAAGGAAATATAAATTTCAGATTTGTGCATATGCCAAAGAGCTTGCTGGATGCAATCTATGACATAGCGTTCATTGTAAGTATGTATATATTTATCAGCTAGGTGAACATTCCATTGTTTACTTCTCTAAATGTATCTCTATCTCATAAGAAAATAAAGTGCATTATTCTACTACTAAAGCATTACACTCATTTTACAAATTATTCCAAACTCAGTAAGAGTTTAAAGCTCATACTTCCTGTTTAACACTTCAAAAAAATAAACAAAACCACATATATAAAGTACTTGAGATGAAGTGTTTTCTCAGATCATGTACCAAAAATAAACAAAAAGCTGATATTTTAATTTTTAAAAAAATCAGCCTAGACTAGGTTAAGAAAATATCCCTTATGCACCTAAGTATTATATAGCACAGGAATTTTACTGAGAAAACACAGTCTGCAGAGATTATCTGAGAAATTATTTAGTAGACTTTGCTTACTTCAAAGTAAAACAAGTTTTCATTATACAAACGTCAACCAGTTTGTGTGTGCAAATGTATAATTCTTATTTTATCTGATTTCAAGAGAATCATTATATATCTCTCAGCAGCTGCCTCAGTTTACAGCCATGTATATTTGTAACAGCATCCTCTGTGACTCTGCTTCCCCAAATGAAAAACAAGGAACAGCATTGCACAGTTTACCAATCCAAGTGTGACAAAATATTTGCATTCAATAGCCATGGAAATCATCCTCTTGTTATCTCCACTGCCTATCTCTGTCCTTGTTCCTCCACTGTTATTACAACAGCCACAGCTAAGAATAAGGACACCTACCCGTTTGTAATTTGAATGTTTCTGGGTCAGAATACCTGTGCATGCTGTTCTGGGATTTTGGTCTACACTTGTTCAAAAGAACATGCCCAAAATAATCAAAAGAACTATCTATGCATTGTAGATGCTAAAGACATCACTGCAGGATGGAATATAATGGAGCTGAATTCAATTTTATGTATGTATTCACTTCATATGCAATGCAAACAGGGTTACTTATCATCAAATAAAGTATCCAAATAGTCTCCTCCACAGATCCACATAACTGCATAATCATGTGTGAGAACACATTCTCTTGCCTCCTCATGGACCTCGGCAGACACTGAAATGTAAATTTCTAGACTGCTTACACACCTGCCTGCATTGATCCCCTGATCCACAGATTCTCACTCTGGAGGAAAGAAGCTTTTCCTCTTTATCTTATTCAGACAAGCGTATTTAATGAAATTTAAGGGTATTAGCAAGTTCTTGAACTATCCTAACGCCTACAAGTTAAACTCAGGCAGAAAACTTGCAAAATTTAGAAAGTCTGGCTTATTCAATTAATTGGAAAACAGAATATTCACTTCCTGTTTAATGCATTTTAAGTCCAGCAGCAACAGAATTCTCTTTCTTGAAAGAATGCTGTAAGCACAAACACAGTCAATCGTTCTAATAACTGTGCTGATATGACAGAAATCTTCATTTAGGACTAGAAAAACACAGAAATGATGGAGATTAAAGAAGCTCAAAGACCCAATGAGGCTGGACCTTAAACTCAATGTTAGGTGTAAGACAGGGCAAAAATCACCCCACCTCTTCTTTAACTATAAAATCAACTAGGAAAAAAGTTCAGTATGATAAATTAGTACACTGGTTTCCCTACGCAGTTACACAGTGACAATACTTTCAGATAAATAGCATCCAGAAACTACTATACATCTCATATTTCACATGCAAATATGATTTTTCCCAATCTAGAGAAGTGAAACCAAGTGCAGTATGTAAGTCAGCTTATTTCCCTGCAATGCCAGACTACGTTGGTGAGACTCTAATCTCAATTGAGTCCAATTATACCTTTATAGACTGACAGTTCCCACTTAATGGTCAGGACTATTCCTCCAACAAAAACAAAGATAAGAAAAAAAAATACATCAAATGGTTAATGATGCTAAATACTGTTTTGCGGTCAAAAGTGCAATGAACATGGGTACAAGACAACCGTTCCTCTATCACAGATTATATAAATATTAGAAAACGGAGCACCATTGAAGAACCTGCTTGATAAGAGTATAGTCATGGAAAGAAATTTAACTGTAATGCATTCCAGAAAGTTTTAATTTATAGAGCTTAAACCTGAAAAGAACACTTAGATTTAGACTGACCTCATTATACCTCTTTTACCTCTGCCTTGAGCCCATTAACTTAAGTTTCATTTAATTAATCACTAGGAAGGCATTCAGTTTGGATTTAAATGACACTGCAAGATGAAAAATACACTACTTTTCTCAGTTATTTGCTCAAAGATTGATCGGATTTATTATTAATATTGTCTGCTTCATTTCTAATATTTCTGTCTTCAATTTCTAAATCTTCTTTCTTCATATACTGTTTTCAATTGAACGTCCTTTAATATTATGCAGAAGATACTTTTACAAAGTAATTAAGTACCACCTGATCTAAACACACTGAGCTCCAACTCTCACCATACAAATATTTTCCAGGCCCTATGCCCTGGTCATGCTAATGATCATACTTGTAAATTTTTTTCCATCCCTATATAAAAAACCTAAAACTAGAATCAAAAACTAAAGTTCTTTCCCTATGCAGGCTAACTAAGAAACACCTGTAGCTCGTTACACTGGGAAAGTTCCCTTGAAACAGGTGCTGTAGCATTCAGCCAATCACTCTGGGAGATGGATGGTCAAGTGACCAATAGCCTTGACCCATCTAGCAAATCATGTGACTCCTGACTATTTAAGGCAGGGCGTTTACTCCTAAGAAGGAGGCATTTCCTCCTGAGCCTTGGAGGAGTGTGGGCCTTCCTTAGAGTAGAGCCTAAAGCCTTTGCATTAGAACATTGGTCTGCTTGGAGCCACCTGAAGCCTTCCAGCTGCGACACATCCCTATATAAAAAACCTAAAACTAGAATCAAAAACTGCATTCTTAGATTAGACTTCTTATTAAAGACAGAGAGGCAAAGACTATCACTTCTCTACATACTGACAAATAAGGGTAAAAAATAACAGCATTTCTTATTACTCCTTCATTTCAGGAAGAACTCTGCTCTCAAAGCAGAAACACCAGAGACAAAAATAGATTCAGTATGTTACATAGAAAATCATAAAAAAAAAACTTTTTCTTGAAGCCAGCAGGTTAGTTTAGGAAAGAACGCGCTATGAATGTCTAGAATAATGCGGTAGTAACTGCAGAAACTTGGTGTAATTAAAAGGTTTTCAATTACTTTGCAACTTCAAGTCATTCTTTTTCTCCAAGAATCTTTTTTATACACATATATATATTTAAACAAAATGCCTATTGACCGGCATCCTATAGTACATAACGCGATAACTAGAAATACTGTAATGTTTTCTAAACAATCTGTCAGTCTATACTAGTCCTCAGTTCTGAGGACAGGTATTTCTTGGCCGTTTGCTGAATTTGCATACTCAGTTAAAAGCTGGAACAGTTCTTCTTAAGAAATAGGAGTATCCTGAGATCACAGAAGTCTCAGGAAATAACATGAAGTTGAAAGCTGATACCTGATATTCACAGAATCACAGAATGGTTGAGGCTGGAAGAGTGCTCTGGAAGTAATTTTGTCCAATCCCCCTGCTCAAGCAAGGTCATCTAGAGCCACAATGTGTTCTGACAGCTTTTGAATATCTTCAAGGAGGGAGACCACAACCTCTTTGGGCAACTTGTGCCATCACTCTCGCAGTGAAAAAGTGTTTCTGATGTTCAGAGGTAACCTCCTGTGTTTCAGTTTGTGCCCACTGTCTCTTGCTCTGTCACTAGGTACCACTAAAAAAGCCTGGCTCCATTCTCTTTGCATCCTCCCTTCAGGTATTTATATACACTGACAAGATCCCGCTCCAAGTTTTCTCTTCTGCAGACTGAACCCTCTCAGCCTTTCCTCTTAGGAGAGATGCTTCAGTCCCTTAGTCCTCTTCATGGCTCTTCATTGTACTCTCTTCAGTGTGTCCATGTCTCTCTTGTACTGGAGAGTCCACAACTGGACACAGTGCTCCAGGTGGAGCAGAGTAGAAGATGGAGTAGAGGGGAAGGATCACCTCCCTCGAACCGCTAGCAATGTTTTTTCTAATGCAGCCCAGGATGCTTTTCAGCAGGGGCACATTGCTGGCTCATGTTCAACTTGGTGTCCACCAGGACTCCTATGCCCTTTTCTGCAAAGCTGGTTTCCAGTTGAGTGGCCCCAGCACCTATCAGTGCATGGAATACTACGGAGTACATCTACCACATGGAACCTAACAGTCCTCTGCGGTAGGGCTTGTATTTAAATATTCTACAGAAGAATATTTGCAAAGTAATCATGTTAAGGATTACGTACATCTTTGTTCTTCATCTTTCAGTCAGTCGATTCATAACAAATGTGCAGAATATAACTCATTAAATTAGTTTTTTCACAAATACTGAATTGTCCCTTGAGTAGTCTCTTTCTTAAGATTAGGGATAGAGAGTGGATTCAGTGTAAGACCAATCCACAGGCAGTAAGAAATACATCCAGTAGTTTTTCATAATGTGATTTTTTTTCCTGAAATTCTTGTCTTAGTATAATGTTAAGGTAGCTGCCATAAAACTCGGGGGGGGGGGGGGGGAAAGTTGAGAGAAATATATCTACGTAGCTTTTCAATAAAAGAATAAATTAATTTTTTTAAAACTTCAGCAAAGAAAACAATGAAATATAAATGAGAATTAGTTACTTGAACAAACAACTATAATTTTCACATGGGCTAACTTTGCTATTTCATAATCATCTCCACGGTAGATAGAAAACTGTGTAACATAAGCATGTGACTCAGTCATCTCATCTTTGTTACTAATATACATACTTTCTTACACCTGGCAATAAGAATCCAATACAGATACAGCAAGAAAACTCACAGGAGCTACTACAGAAGACTTTTTCTTCTCATCCCTAAAGTGCTTGAGAGAGAGAGGTAGCTGAGGAGACTCTTAACATAACTGAAACTTTCAGTTAAATGTAGATGATCAAATTCATATTTAGCTTAAATCAGTAACTAGTTAAACTCTTTCCGCCTTTCTGAAGTAAGTGATCTAAATACTCTTAAACATTGGTTGTTTGCAACAAGAAAGTAACGTTCCTGTTGGCAACCTGTGTTAAAACGGGAGAGAATTTTAAGTTATATGAGGAAAAAAAAAAATAATTTCTACACAGTGTCCTGGTAAAATCATGACTGAATCACACTACTGAGAATGTCAAACTTATCTCTAAAAACTATGGGGAAACTGAGCTCGTCTATAAAATTATGAACACAACTCAGTGCTTTGAAAATAAATTTTCTGCAAGAAACGCTTGTGATTTTTACCTCTTTTCCCGTAGAGAGCACATACATTCAAACAGTAACTACAGCCAAATAGCTACTAACAAACACAATGTTTCTTTAGCTGACAATTTGTATAAATAAAAACCAGGTTTATATCAATGGTCAATTGCTTGAGACCAGGCCAGAGACTCTTCTAAATCAAAACTGTGTTTGATTTAACCACATCAAAATTGTCAATGGTATTAGCATAAGACTGACAATACACTGATCCAATGAAAAAAAAAAAAAACAAACGCAGAAATTTGCTGTTACCAAAAAAAAAGAAACCACCCTTTCAGATATTTTGACTGCCAAAACCAAGGTATTTTTCCACTCAGCTGGTAGCCTTAAAATCACTAAAAATCACTCTAACAGGCAGGCTAACATAATCAAAGTCTAATTCCTGTTGTAGCCTTACATAGAGCTATTAGACTTATTTAAAGTTATTTAGCTTTAGAGTTCTTAGGCTTTCCATTTACGTTTGTGATGCAGTTTGCTCTTATCTGGCTGAAGCTGCTCCTTAAACCACATCTTAAAGGAATTTTTTCATTTCTTCTAGTCAAGGGGTCATACCTGGGGCAGAGCAGATATACAGAGATATTTATCTTCCTAAAAATCACAGAATCATAAAACGGGTTGGCTTGGAAGGGACCTTTAAAGGTCATCTAATCCAACCTCCCTCTGCAACGAGCAAGGACATCTTCAACTAGATCAGGTTGCTCAGAGCCCCATCCAACCTGACCTTGAATGTTTCCAGGGATGGGGCATCTACCACCTCTCTGGGCAACCTGTGCCAGTGTTTCACCACTCTCAGTGTAAAAAGTTTCTTCTTTCTATCTAGTCTAATTTAGCTTCTTTTAGTTTAAACCCATTACCTCTGTCCTATCGCAACAGGCCCTGCTAAAAAGTCTGTCCCCATCTTTCCTATATGTCCTCAAAATTTTAAGTATTGAAAGGCCGCAGTAAGGTCTCCCCGGGGCCTTCTCTTCTCCAGGTTAAACGACCCAAATATCCTTTATACAAATGTATCTATATATAAAATTACTGTATAACATTACACAGCCAGCATGCATCTACCACAGCTAGAAGTGGCTTACTGAAAATGCAGAGGGCAGCACCTGAAGCTTCAGACAGCTAAAAGGAAAGTATACTTTTCTGGATAGCAACATGAAAATCTTAATGTTTGGATGGAAGGAGATAAAGAATGTTAAAATGAACCATTATGACTGGCTGGTCCTCAAAAAGAGTTCTCAAAGAGCTGTCAAAACATAGGTAAATATATAGAATATGTAAATAGTATTAATTCTGCTTTTTTTTTCCTGCTGTAACATTTTTAAAAAAATATAATACCTGCAATACTTTGTAAATTCAGTGAATTAATGTGGAAGAACTACTGGACATACTTCTCCTAGAGAGTGAGTTTGCAACAGAAGTGATATTTTTTGCCTTTGTTAAAATACATATACTGGCAGAAAAAGATACATTCAAACCTCATTACACACAACTTACTCTGATTTTTGGTAAAACTCGACGAAGTGTTTCTGCAGGATTCTGTCGCATCAGAACTGGAAGGTTTGCCACCACACTTGTTCCTTGTACATCCTGGCCAGAACTTACAAAAATATATACAAACAATACATTACTCTCTAGCATGGTTACAAGCTCACAGCTTTCATTTAAAAAAAAAAAAAAAAAAAAACAAAACAACAAACGAGCTAACTAGGTTTTTCATAGAACAAGTCAAGAGAAGCATTGCTTCTTTTATGTAATATGTAGTAGAAAACAACATTAAAACAATATCAACCATAAAAGCTGTTACATATCGTTTCTAATATGGAATGTTCTAAAGTTTAGTGTACTTTTGGGAAAAAAATAAAAAATGATTGAAAGATCTTTTCAAACTGGACAATCAAGGCAGTTGTTTTGTGGAAGATTTTATATTGAAACAATAAAAGTGATAAAATATAGGAAGGAGATAAATAGAAGATATAAATGAAAATTACATCTAACAACCTAACACAACATTTTAACAGAAATTTACCATTTTTTCCTTTTTGTAGAGAAGACAGTCAGATACATAATCAGATGTACATTGACAAACATGATTAAAGAAGGATGCAAAAACTTGGTTAGATTATAGACCTTGAACCTTTCTCTCTCAATGGTACCCCACAATTTAACTAGGAAAGAAAAATAAAAAATAAAAAAAACCACAAACAAACAAACAAAAACAGGATGGGAAGGAAAAGGTGGGCAGCAATGAAGAAAAGGCATGAGATGAAAACAAAAACTATCTAAGTGGATAAATTTCTAAAATGGTATCAAAAAGAGAAAAAGTTTGGATGCCAAAATTAAAAATCAAACTAAACATCAACACATCCTTTTCCCTGTTTAAATGCATAAAATCAAGTAAACAAATTCAGATTTGTTCCAGCAGCTAAGCAGCTCATTTTTAAATAAGCATGCAAAGCTCAAATGTACACATGCAAACATTTTTCTTAGTGTGACAACACAATTAATTGTTAGGATTATACATAAAATTTTAAAAGAAACTCATAGTAAAACTACTTTTAAATACTTCCATATGCCACTCCCCAAACTATCATCATTCCAAGTTTTCTTAGTGAAACATATGAGCTCAGGAAGCGGACTAGGTACATAAATTGATCACAGGACAGTAGATTTGCACAACCACCTTCCAGTTTTGTTCTGCCTCTGAAGTATAACAGGGAATTCACAGTTAAGATGCAAAGCCTTCCCACAGCATTTAGAGCTGAAAAGATCTTTACACATTCCATTACTGTTGTACATCATCTTTAACATCCATGTCTTTCAGAAGATCAAACGAAATTATAGGTACAGTCAAGCAGGCCAATTTAGATTCATTTTTTTAAATGCATATAAATGTATTTTTAAAAATAAGGATATGTTTGTATAATAAGCATGAAGCAGAAGTAAAAGCTTTGGATAAAATCAAGAGACACTAAAATACCCCAACAGAAATACTGTAATATCCCACTGGAAAGATTTTTTTTCTTTGCACTCTATAATGTCCCAGCGAAAATATTCAAACAACAATTAGATATCACTAACATTAACTCAATCATATGTAGCAAACTGCAATTTCAGTGTTATTTTGAAAGAAAGTATTCTTCACTATCCTCGCAAAGATAATTTTCCATGTTAGAAGGCAGTATCTTCCGGAAGATTAAGTACAGGCTGGAAGGCAGGAATTCAGAAATTCAAACCCTCTTTGCAAGGTGGAGAGTCACACACACCCCAGTTCACTTCTGTGCTAGGTTTCCATTCCGCAGAGGGATGTAATTACCTAACTCACCAACTACAAACTATCACTCTGTATAAGGGTCTTAGCATGGAAAAATCTCTGCCTCAAAAAACCTCCTCCTTCCAGAAATCTTGCTATGCTACATATGCCTCATTTTTTGTACAAAATAACACAAAATGCCTGTAATTTGAAAGCATGAGTCTAAGGCATATATGATGGAATTAACCTAATCTTAGATTGCCTGTGTCTGCTGCTAAGATAATTTCCCTTTAAAAATCGACGGAGATAGATTGTACTTTATTGAGTCCAGTTTATCTCAGCCTAAATAGATGAGACGGGCAATGCCACTGAAATGCCTGTTTCCCTCTATCGCCCATAAAGGCAGGCACAAAGACTGGCTCTTCTGCATGTACCTGCATTGCAATTAAATGATGGCTCCTATTCACAGAAACACATTACGAGCCTTAGTCCTACAGGCATTCATGTTTATGCGTAACGTCACCATTGCAAGTGGTCCCATTGATTTCTCATTTAGTAATCTATTAACACCTTTAGAAATGCTTGTGTGATTATAGCATCTAACTAACAAAGCTAATTTAGGACAAAATAAAACAGTTCTACTTCCCTGAGTTCCAGAGCAATCAAGAATCATAGAATCATAGAAGGATCCATCAGAAATTTAGTCATGGCAAAAACTGCTCTAAATGGGTACTACATACCATGAATGCTAGGAACCAGTATTTATGTCTTTTATTTATTGGATCATATACACCTTAAATGTTACAAAGATGAGAACCCAAATAGAAGAGTTATCATAAAATCTAAGATGAGTAAAAAGCGAGTAGAAAGCTGTGAGCACTGTACTGATGTTATCACACATTGCTGCCATCAGGCCTGCAACATTCTGACCCACTGAACAAATGTGGGAATCATTCCCAGAGTGGAGACTTCACCTTTATTGCTCCTATACATTTACAATAATAAAGAGTAAGCAAAAATCAGTCAGGGATGGCGGGCAACACAGATGAAAAAGAAATAAAATACACTGAAATTCATCATATCAGAGTGTAATAGCAAAAAATATTTATAAACAAAATTTAACAAGCTGAAAACAAGACAAAATTAAGATACATAATCTTAAGGCCAAGAAGAAAAGGCTTGACAGAGCATAAAAAAAAAATCACCATTTCCTATATTTTTTTAATATGTGCTATCTTTTTCTCTTGGTATCTACTTTATTTAGAAATACAAGAAATTACTGATCCAATACTGCATTTTTTTTAAATATTGCACTTTTTTTTGAATTCCAACTGAGAAAACGTGTAAGTATTTTTGTAGTATTTTAATCCTCTATTAAGACTATTCCTGAGGTAAAATTAAGCTAATGTGATATTCTTGAAAAGTACTACAAACTAATTTTCTGGCTAGTTACCATATACATCACTCTACATTTTAACTATTGTCTGTAAACACAAGAACGAGGGTGGTGAGGTACTGGAACAGGTTGCCCAGAGAAGTTGTAGATGCCCCATCCCTGGAAGTGTTCAAGGCCAGGTTGGATGAGGCTATAGATGTAGTGGAGGGTTTCCCTGCCCATGGAAGAGGGGTTGGAACTAGATGATCTTTGAGGTCCCTTCCAACTCTAACCATTCTGTGATTCTAAGTTCTGACAGGGCAAAGCTACACCAAAGCCCTTTTTAATGCCATTCAAAACCAGCAAGAATGGATAAGAGTACGGATTTTCAGAATGACTTTATTAGCATCCCTGCAATCTTACTTGGTAAACATGTATGAGCGCTCTCAATAAAAACACGTCTGCCAGTAATATTTAAACTCAGTGAAAGGATAGTATTCTGTCAATTACTGAAAATGGACTTCAATTAACGATTAATAACTGATCTATTTACAGCTGGCAATATTTTTGCATTATTCAAAACCATTTTATCATCTAATTTAAAGCCATAAATATTAAAGCCTTTCATGTTTATGGCAGATTTCTCTGAGTATCACATATTAATTCCAACACAGCTTTAAAGCAGAACCGAGAAATCTAGAGCTCCCAGAGTGGAAAAGGGTCACAGGGTGGATGAGGCCCACAACTTCTTATAATGCAACTTGCAAGGAAAAGATACATGCCTTTGTATTATCCAGCAATAATGCAAAAGGTCAAGGTAACATGGAGAAGTGATTTAACTGAAAATTTTATTCGTGTTGTATCAAAATGGAATAAATCCTAACTGCTAAGAAATGCAACCAAAATGCAACCTTTATCCATTAGAAATTTAAAGAAAAAGGGAGTATTTCCCTTTAAACCAGAAATGCTTAGTATCTGGCTTGCTGCCAATTAAGAATATGAAGAGCAGGAGGCATTTCAACACCTACACAGCCTGTAATTTTCCAACTGCAGAAGATTTTTCTTCTATTTCTACCAAAGAAGCTGCACCATAGGTTTTCTTTAAATATTAAAGACTTCAAGATTATAGTGAATTATTGCTAAAGGCTCAGATTTAGACATTTTTGTACTAATAAACACATTAAAATAAATGCTAAATCTTTTCTTCAGAGTCACAGTAAGCTCAACGTAATGAAGGCACTATTACTTTATTAACAGTGCTAACTATAGAAAAACAACAGAGCTCTATACTTGGAAGCAATTTAGCTCAACCTTTTTTGTGCTAGCAGAATCCACATAGATAATAACAATTACATATAAGACTTCGGGACTGATCTTCTGAGTTCATCCTGCAGGAGATCTGTCATGGTTTGATGTGGAGGGGGGGGTGGTTCTGGTGGCAGGAGAGGGGTTTTGGTCCCTGTGACCTCCCCGGTTTTGTAACCGGGTTAGGCT